TCTTTCGAAGTATATTAGGAAGGGAGAAAAAAAGAGCAAAACTTGATTTCTAAATCTGGTATAATTTTTAGCATTCACCTGTTGCTTGAAAGAAAACTCAAAGTAGACGAAGATTACTAATTATATTTGCATTGCCCTCCAGTTCAGGCAAAATACCTTGTTGCACTGGTTTCAGTCCCTCTTCAGACTGATCCCCATCACATCCTTCCCCCTCCAACCCCATCTTGTGCATATTTACTAAAACAAATGCCCCATGACTATAATCTGACTTAGTCTAAAATCACATTTTTGCAAGATATCCAAACCTATAGATTTGGGCCTATAACTCAGGGAGAAGAGGCAGGGAGACTGAGAGGAGGGTGTAAAGAAAAAGACTGATTGATTTTGTTTTGTCTTTCTGATGGTAAACATCACCATCACACTGTCGTGTCAGGTGCAGGCCACTTTGCAGCATGGAACTTATAGGCATTTTATCCAACTAGGATAGCCACTGTGGAAGTTCACTAGCAAACAGGAGATCATGAGGCCATCAACACTTTTTTTTCCCTGTTCCTATTTCAAAGGCTTCCTAACCAAGCAACCATTTGTCTCATTTCCCTAAACCTGTCCTTTATTTTTGGATAAATAGTTCAATACCACACATTCTTATGCCTTTTTTTCTCTTTAGTCTGGTCCGTACTGTAAGTTGTTATAATCAACACAATCTGACAAAAAATCATTTTATATAAACACTCAATTAAAAAAGGGGCCAAAGTCATCACAATTAATTTTCTCTTCCTTTGCAATTGCAACACAGTATGAAATTGTTCATACTGCTTGAAAACCGCAGCCCTTTTTGATTATCACTGTCTTTTTGAAGTGAAGGAGCATCTTAATGAACTGCAAAAAATAATAATAAAAACCCTAACAAAAAGGTGATCAAAGAAGAATCAACAGCCCAGGCAAAGAACTGAAGTTCCAAACCCCAGGGATTGTGAGATTCACTCCATAAGAAAACCTCTTCCTAAGAAAAGGCAGTACACTGATCTAGTGTCCCATAATAAGAATATCAGAATAGTTACAGGAATCCTATTCAACCAGTCAATCCAAGTGACCTGGGGAGAAGGGAAAAGGAAATACTGTAGCCTGTTTCCCATTCTGGTTTAAATAAAGGTTAATGAATATTCTGCCAAATAATATTATTTAGTAATATTCAAAAACAGCTTTTAAAATATTTTCCAAAACAGATAACTATTTTAAAAATGTAATACCCTTATGCCAATTCCAAACCCAATACTTCATGGGAAAGTGTCCAGACATTTTTTCAACAATTATCCTATTTTCTCAGAAAGTGTCTTCTTCATACTACTATCCCAAAGCATCATACTATTTTTTCAACAATTATCCTATTTTCACAGAAAGTGTCTTCATACTACTATCCCAAAGCATCATACTTGTTTATAAAAGTAGTTTAGAAGTCAAGCCTAATGTGGAACTATGAAATCAGATTCTGTTTTTATTGCATCCAGTGAAAGCCCCCTGTATTTATTACATCCGTTTTCTGTTCTGTTAGGTCAAACTAGCTGATATAAGCAGGGTACAAAATAATGTATTTTTAAAAAAACTATGTTCTTTTTGAAGACCAATGAAATGAGAAACCAACTTTTCAGATTCAAACTTGATACAGCCTTTGAAATATAACAAAAGTCACATTTGCATCAAACTGTAGATGGATTTCCTTAAATTAATATTTACATATGGGTGAAGATTGCCAGTATTGAAGGAGTTTGAAGGGCAAATAACACAGCATCTTATCATCATAACATTCAGAGTAATTGGTCTGATCTTCAGGAAAAAAATCAAATGGAAAATACAATAGTAACCTATGTTTCTGCTCTAATTTTGAAAGATTGTTGAAAACTGTTTTCTAGTTTCCATTTTTTTACGTTTAACTGGCAGAACTGAATGAAGGCATTAGACTCTTGCTAACTAAAAGTTCTTGATATGCAAGGCATCAAAATATTATTAGAGGAGCTCCAGAATGAATTTGCCCTTTGAATGATTATCTATCTATTTAAGAACTTATATTAAAGGAGCCTTTCAAATCAGTTATATATTTCCACAGTTTGATAATTTGGATGTGATGCCAACATTTGCAAAGCAAGTCAATGGGGCTTATTTCTATGCAGTTCTGTTTAGAACTGCAGTATTTCAGCCCTTCTGTATTACTAGGCAAATAAATTTGGAAATAAGGCCTAGTAATTGTGATAGCAATTATTTCTGACTAAAGCTTCCTATAAATCACAGCTCCAAATTAAGGCTTGAAAAACAAATGCATCAAAAGTTTAAACCAATGTCCGTGTCAGATCTGATGATTGTACGTATCCTGTGCAAAACACTTTTATTCAGAAATTCATCCTGTTGAGTAGAGTGGAACTGATTTCCATATAGGATTGTTGTTTTTAAGGTATAGTTTTAGTTTATAGTTAGAAGTTAACAAAGTTTATCAATACATTCCTAAGTTAGAACAAAGAGCAAAGGGTTCTGAAGATGGCAGATTTATTAAAACCACAACAGTGTCTGCAGACCATTCCTACAATGTAGAAAACATGTTATTTACTCCAGAAATATCAGGAAAACAAAATTGCACACACCCTTCCTACCTATACGGAAAGAAAGAAGAAATTCACTTCATCCCAACAAGAAGTTCTGTTTTGGCTCCTTTGTTTTTGCATTAATCCAAGTGCAAAACCTGATGCACATTCCTGCTAAATCTGCTAAAATCAAAGTGGTGCTACCTGATACCTCAGTATCAAACATATTAATTTAACAGTTAGTACTCTTGAAACAAATGGGAGCTTCCTTCTAAGTGTGCATTGTTAGATAAATTGTGAGAAGAGAACCCAAATTTCTCCCCAGAAGAATCAAACTGACTAATTAAGTGATGCAAACAAATCAATAATTTTAGAACTTCAAGAGATTTTGCTGTGATCAGTTAAAACGAAGTACTTTGACCAGCATGTTTGACTTATCATCTTTTTCTCAGTTCAAGAGATCTTCACCTGGCATTGGGAAGTTTTCCAAGACAAACGATTATAAGCCCAAGATCTTCACCTGGCATAGGGAAGTTTTCCAAGACAAACGATTATAAGCACAGGTTATTTAAGGGAGAAACCCCACCCCCACCCCAAGCATCAGGGTAAAAAAAGGAAGCCAGCAAAGCATTTTAATGCAAACAATGATGTACAGCAAGAACACTACTAATTCACAAATCCACCCTGAATCTCAAAATGCAACCAAAATCAAAGTTTTTAGTACTGACTTCTGGAAATGTCTGCTTGATAATTCCCCCCCTCTCCAAAGTTTCTGTCGTTTTAGTTTTGTGTAAAGCGCTTATCATGTACGAGTATTTTTAAAATAACTTTTCAGATGCCTCCCTTCTATCAGCCTTTACTTCTCAGATTCAAGTGGAATAAGTACAGATTAAAGCCGTATGTATATAGAAGCTACATATACCAGTAGGGACAATGGAAGTGTAAACCACACAAATGAGGATTTTAGAAGTCTTTTCAGAAGAGAGAAATGATAATACAGGTCTTTTCACGTTTACACAACAATATGACATCACATGCGTAAACATTACTAGAGAGAGCTCTATGTGGAATGTGTCACTCCAATTAATTGCCTTTTTACTTTCATCTGCTCCCCTCCCCCCACTGTAATAAATCGCAACTAAAAGTCTGCTTCAGATCCCATTTTCTACTTTCAATCCCCACTTACTTTTCCTCTTAATGTCTACCCTTTAAATCTTTGTTGTTTAAAGCCTTATTGTCGACGCTAATAGCTTCGGCCACCGTTGCAGGGGGGGGGAAACGACGTTGCGGAGACACTGGCAATTCAGTTAAATCAGACACGGATACCGAAACATCCGCATAAAGTCAATTTGTAGTCTTCCCAATCCATACTGCACACTTCTAGAAAGCTTTCTTCACGGGGAAATTCCAGTTATACATTTTCGATATGCCAGGTCGCCAAACTTTTATCCCACCAGTACATAGCAAGAGCAGCTATTTTTCGCTTTCATCTTAATTTCCTGCAGCCACTCTTCCTTAGTACTATTCTAAGTTTGTAAAGCCACCTGCTCGCTATCATCTCGATCAACCACGGGTTTTACTAATTTGGCACAGGATAGCGTTGGGCTGCCTGATCGAGTCTTATGAACCTGGAAAGTTATTTTATGGGCGTCGGACAAGCCTCGGTGAGACCAGTGACAACACTGGCTTTGATTTTCTGGACCGCACTCAAAGGCTGCCGTATTAAAATCTTTCCCGTACATCAATGTCCGGAAAAATACCAATCGGATTTTTTTTTTTAGTACATCCCATTCTACTAAGTATTTGGAGAAGAGTAAGTGCCACTGACAACAAGTGGATTGCTACCAAGGAGCGAATGCCTAGTCCTGTAGGGCAGTAATATGTCACCTGTACCCTCGAATTATGAACTACTGTTCGGACTAACTGAAATATGTAATTAGTCCCTACGGTGTGTCCATACGCTTTCCACAAAAGTGACTAAAGGATTAATATAAAAAAGGTCTTTGCTAATTCTATGTACACGTTTTTCCAGTGTCTTTAGTTGCTCTTACTTTAAAGAAAGCATGCCATGGTTTGCAATTTTAGGACCAGATGCTGAGGTTTTGGATGTTGGTGGCTTTGTCTAAGTATTCTAGTCTCAATGAATGCAATTTAAATACACTCTCAAGACACCCTAAAGTCAACGTTATCACTTTGAGCTGATTATCGCTATACATTTAACGCAAAAGCTCTTACCTGCACCCGGCTCTCAATATTCTTATTGTAGAGCAATTGAAATACAGACCCAGAAGAAGTAAGAGAAACATAATAATAATAGACAGTGTTGTGCCCAAATACTCCCCACTGCCCGGGGCAGGTCTTGCCCATCATAGATGTGTTTCCCAGAGGGCGCGAGGGATGTCTGGGCCAGGCCTCGCTGTTCCTTTCCTAAGTTTGCACCAAGGCCGAATGTAAGGCGCTCTTGCCCTCGGAGGAGCTGGGGGGAGTCTGTTCAAGGGCGGAAGAAGAGGAACTCGGGGAGCTGGAGGGGCAGAGCGACTGTGCCACCTGGTTGACGGTCAGGGCAGGGATGGCGGTCGCTGCGGGCATGGACGGGGTGGGCTTGATGGGCACCGGGATGGCAGGCAGCGTCTGTGGAGGCGGGTGGCAGATGGCCTTCATGGGCATGCCGAAGGGTCCATACTCTCCCGGTGAGAGGGGCACGCCGCCGACAGGCTCCATTACGCCCACGTGGGGCCACATGGAGCTGACCATGGTGCTGATCTGCTGGCTGGCCACCGGGTAGCCGAGGTGGTGCATCACGGAAGCCAGGGGCAACCCGCCGCCCTGGATCACCCCCTTGTAGTCTCGCCCGATGAGGTTTTCAATGGCGAAGGGATGCTTGAAGCCAGGCGCGGGGCTGTAAGGCTGGAACTGGGGCAGCCTCCCTACGGCCGCGGCCGCGGCCGCCACCGCGGATTCGGGATGCCCTTTGCCTGCCGCTGAGGGCTGCAGGGGAGGAGGAGGCGGAGGCGGAGGAGGCTGATGAGAATGGTGCGGGTGGAAATAGTGGCTCAAGTGCGGGTGTAGCACGCCCCCTGCTTTGCCCGCGGCTGGCATGTGGGGTTCCGGCCGCGGCACCTTGAAGCGCTTTCTGCGCCGCAGGAAGCTGCCGTTCTCGAACATGTCTCCGCAGTCGGGATGCAGAGCCCAGAAGCTGCCTTTGCCCGGCTGGTCTGGCCGCCGCGGGATCTTGATGAAGCAGTCGTTGAAGGAGAGGTTGTGGCGCAGCGAGTTCTGCCAGCGCTGGGTGTGTTCGCGGTAGTAAGGGAAGCGCTCCATGATGAACTTGTAGATGTCGCTCAAGGGGAGCATCTTCTCGCTTGAGTGCTGGATTGCCATGGCCGTCAGCGAGATGTAGGAGTAAGGGGGCTTCTGGTCACTGTAGGAGCTCTTGCCCGGACGAGGCATGGCACATTCCCACCGACACGCGGGCTGGACCCGCCTGGAAAGGACCACACACTCAGACCCAAGGTCCCTAAGCTGTCAAATAGGCTTAGGAGGGATCTACTGATTGTGCCCGAGCGGCGACGGAGTTGCCCAAACACTCCCAGGATCTCGGAAGAAGAGGTCCATACATTTCAACAGCACCTTGTACTTCGAGTCCAAGCTTCCAGTGGACTTTCCGATACTCCTTCTGAACTTGGCTTCTGCTGGTGTCCGGGGACGCCGGATGAACGAGATAGGTAGCAGCACATGTGGTGTTCTCCCGCTTAGTCTCGATCTTTTCCTTCACATATTTCTTTCCCTCTTAGACCCGCCTGTCATTCTAAGGCGCGGCGGCACATGTGCTTGAAGGGAAGCCCTTCTCATTTCAGAGGAACTCTTTGCCAAGCAAACGTGCTTAAGCCAGGCGCTGAACTGTAAACCTGGAACCAGAGCAGCCTCCCTAGAGTCCCTTACGGCCCCCCCGCCACCGTTGTGGGGAAGAAGTGCAACTTTTCTGCTTCTTGAATTCCGTTCTTTGTCCCATTACAATGAATTTGGTACCGCGAGGAAGTTTAACCCATAGTAACTGATCATTTCTTTCTCGGCCACTCAGTTTCTCGCTTGCGCCTCAGTTCTAAATCAGGAGAGGTTTCTGCAGGGAACTTAATGCCCCGTAAGGTCCGCTTCACCGACCTCCCTCGCCCACCCATACCCTCTTGATTCAAGGAAGACCTGAAAAGACATTTGAAGAAGTAAGTTTTCCCTAGGAGGCTGTCTCAGATTTCTAGGCTTTTCTCCCCGCACAAAAACAGCACCTGCCTTTTCTCTTGTAGAGAGTTCAACAAAACCCACGTTGAGAGTGGCGTCTCCTGCCGGGACGGGTTTTTCCAGGTTTTCATCCGGAGTTCTCTGCCTGGAGTTCCTGCGCTGGTTTTGAAGGGGAAGAGAACGGCAAATGACTGGTGGATGGATTGACCGACTGCGTGTGCGAGAGAGAAAGAGAGAGGCAGAGATCGAGGGAAAGGGAAAGGGTCGTCTTGGAGTAGGACCAACGACTCATCTCCTTGCGTCCAGAAAGAAAACAAAACCCCGAATCCCGCGGCTGGTTGGAGTCGCAGAGCGGCCACGAGAAGGGAGCGCCTGGGGCTGAAGAAAGCAGCGCGGCAGCTGGGCTTGTGGCTTGGCAGAACTTCGCCGCTCCGTTTTGTGACGGCCCCTGCCTGCAGCCCCGATGCGCGACGCGCCCCCCCCCGCGCCTCGTTCCGTCCTCCTCGGTATCACATGACAGAGGTTTAGCGGACGGGATCGCTGCCTGCCTTCTTTCCTTGCAAAGGACTCCTGAGGCCTTGGATCCCCGCGGCGAGGAGAAGTTGGAGGGCGACTTTCAATCGTCTCCTCTCTCTGACAGCCAGGAAAACGACCTCCTCCTCCGCTCGCCTATTCCCCAGCGCGAACCGCTCACATCCACTTGAACTACCGGCAGCTCGCTTGAGCTCCCGCGCTGGGAATCGGATCCTCTCACCCCCTCAACACACACACACACGCACACGAAGCTCGTCGGTGTGGAGAGCGACTGGCTTACGTTTTGGGCCTCACGATTGCGGAGAGACAGGGGTGTCAAAGGAGCATCGGTGTGGCTTACGTTTTGGGCCTCACGATTACGGAGAGACAGGGGTGTCAAAGGAGCACTCCTTTGGACCTAAAACTGAGATCTCCGCCCCCCCACTTTTAAGAATACTGAGCTGATCGGGCTTGGGAAGATGTCCGCCTGGCTGTTTGAGGCTCAGTTGAAAAAAGGATTATACTGTACTCGTATTCCCGGTGCTTTATATGATCCTGGCATTGTAGTGAGGGAATAACTGAACAACTCAACACAACAGGAAACACTCTTTCTGCATAGTAGGCTGCAGTGTATTTACCGGTCCCAGATTATTCGTTCGTTCGTTCAATTTATATACCGCCGGTCTAGCAATTGTTACTCTAAGCGCTGTACAACAAATTAAAGGTACAGATATAGCGATACAATTAACTGTCCCAAACCTAGATCAGATAAGGACTGCAGGCCGCAATGAAATCAGTGGCTCAGAAACACTGTAATGCTATACACTTCTGCTTAGGAATGTCTTAATAACATTACTTTGCATATGAGTGAAGACGTTTGCCGATATTCACCCGGTCTTCTTTACTGAAGAAGATTGACGACGATAAGGAGATCGTCACCGAACACAATAAGACTTCCAAAAGTCCCCAGCCACGACGGGAGTGCCAAAGACAGAATAAAAGAGGTTGTGTGTGTGTGTGTGTGTGTGTGTGTGTGTCTGTGTGAGAGAGAGAGAGAGAGAGAGAGAGAGAGAGAGAGAGAGAGAGAGAGAGAGAATCTGGTATCCCCATTGCGGCTGATCCGTGTAAATAAAGTCCGATTGGCCGCAATGGCGCTGATGGGAGTTCAGGAAGATGTGCTCTGTTCTCTGCTGACACCAAATGGATGTTCAGTTTCTCAAGTAACGGTAATTAAGGTCGAAGTGTAAAAGTAAGATCATCCATCAGTTGATGGGAATGCGTTCATTGGTTTGGGATGTAACACGGAAAGGGAAGCACGTCCCGTCGAGGTCAGGGCAATTTTATTCGGTCGGCGGGATCGCGAGTCCCGTTCAGCCTTAACAAAAGATCCCCAAAGAAGCGGCAACAACCACTACTGGCGATCAGGCGGAATTCAGCCGTCGGACGGGGACGCGCGTCTCCAGCCGTCTGCACCTAAGCAGACGCCGGAGGTGGAAAGGCTGGGGAGCGGGAGAGGCAGGCTCGCTCTCTTTCTCTGCGACGCTCCCATCTGCCTTCCGAGCACTTAGGAAGAAATCGGGACTCCGAAAAGTGCCAGCCGGGTCACGCTTTTTCCATAAGAGGAAGGTGAAAAACATAAACATAAAAAGTATGTTCGTTGAATGCCCTCATCTTGCAGGAGAGGCTGTATTAACAACAGGAAAGTTAAGGGCTGCCTTTCTGATTCAATTAAGAACAAACTTAAAATTCTGGCAATAGGATTTAGTCAGGCTTAAACTTCCTGCCGTCGCTTGAGCGAACCTTGCACAGGCCGACGGCCTGCCGTGCCCTGCGTTGCTTCCAGTGGAAACCCAGAGGGCTGCCCGGGAGGGAATCGCTCTACCCGCCTCCGGTCCGTCGCTGCTCTTCCGGGCGTTTTTCTCCCCACTCCCGCCCCGTCGATCCTGGAGGTGGAGGGCGGCGGCGCGCTCTCGTGGAAGGCCTCCCAGCGCCCAGGCCCGTCTGTCTGTCTGTCTGTCTGGCCTGGCCTGGCCTGACCTGCTGCTTGAAATCTGCCAAGCCGCCTAGAGTGGTCGAAATGACTAGATAGGCGGGGTATATGTATATATGCAATGTATATATGTATATATGCAATGACCAGATAGGCGGGTACAATGTACAATGTATATATGCAATGACCAGATAGGCGGGGTACAAATAAAATAAAATAAAATAAAAATATCTAATTTAGGGGTTAATCCCATGTCACGTTGTTGTGTTAACTCCCGGCTCTAATATTTATTGTTTCAGAGCAGAACAAAGGGGCGGGGGAAAGCCGTCCTCTGGTTTTCCTTCCCCCGGTGCCGCCCCCACCCATCCAGAAAGTTTGGGGTGATTTGTCGAGGGCACGTGGCAGAGCGGGGAGTAATTGCTAACCCATGGAAATGAGGACGCCGCGTCTGCACAGCAATGCTTAATGCCAAAAATCGACATGGAATATCTATCTATCTATCTATCTATCTATCTATCTATCTATCTATCTATCTATCTATCTATCTATCTATCTATCTATCTGGCTGGCTGGCTGGCTGGCTGGCTGGCTGGCTGGCTGGCTGTCGACATGGAAAATATATATTAAAGAGTAAACGCTACTAACGTTCCTTTTTCAGAAAACGAGTGAGGGAAAGGAATTAAAAATAGATTTTCTGAAATACTGAGGGTTCAAATGGAAAAGATAAGGACTGGGAAAAACAAATCCCATATTCTCCTATTTTACTTATCCCCCCTTTCTAAGGCGGAGCCCTGCACTACGTGCACCTACTCGGCCATCAGGACTTTCCTCTAATTTATTTTTAACTAGTCCTAAGTCGTTATCATGAGGGAATCTAACGTCTGCCGGCGACTTTGTAGGGAGCGGGGCAAATAACCCTGAAGCCCCGGTAGAAAGAAAAGAGCAGAGGGGAGGGTTTGCTGCCTCCCCCCCTTCTCTCTTTCTCTCAGACAGGGAAGACTGCCCGAATCACATTTCTCCAACATTTATGTGCTTTCAGCTCTAATTGCGCGCGATCTGTTGCAGTGTCTCTTTCTGTCCTGAGGCGCGATTGTTCAAGCTGTTCTAGCCACTCGTGTAATTTGCCCCCTGGATCGCCTTTGTTTCTGATGCAGAGTTCAGTTTCAACATCACCTTTAAAACTCCTTTTTAATGGTGCATCTATGGTATTATTGCGTGCCTTCCTTCCTTCCTTCCTTTTCCCCCCCTCCCAGCATTTCAAAGCTAAGGGGAATTTATTGGGGTTGAAATGAATCTTTGCTTCCTTAAGAGGCCCCGGGACACACAAGAATGCAGCCCTTGATGGCCTCTGCAAGGTATTTCCGTGGTCCTTGCCTCTTTAAGCTGTAGAAAAGTCGGAGGTAACTCCGGCAATAACAAGAAACAAACTTTCTCTTTTTCTTGCGCAGAGCAATAACAAAAGACTGTTCATCAGCAGCCAGGTGTCAGGGTGCAACTCCTGACAGCAACTGTCTTCCTTTTGAGCCAGCTAGCTCTGGAATACATTACATTAATTAAGTCTTTGGTGATTTAGCCTCCTTGGAGAAAAGTCCAACAATGTAATTAAGAACACACTGGTTCTATCAGGTATGAATATTCAAAACAGTGTCAATTAATTAGCCAACAGATCTATCTCACTATGCCTCAACAGCCCCTTAAGTCCTCCAATATG